GCGTCGATGCTCTTGGGGCTGAACTGCAACAGGTGGGCGACGTATTTCATGGCGGCAGCCAGGGGCTCGGCGTCGAGCAGCTTGAGGCCCGAGGGGTCCTCGAGCTCCCTGGTCGCCCCCTCCTTGGCGCTGCTGCCCTTGTTGGGGTCCTTCTTGGCCGCGCGCTCGGCCGCCTCGCGCTCCTGCTTCTGCTTCTCCTTGATGGCCTTCTTGGCGGCCTTTTTACGCTCCGCGGCATCGGCGCCGTTGACATCCCCGTTGGCGGCGGCGGCGGCGGCGCGGTCGTGCCGCTTGAGGTAGATGGCGACGGCGTCCAGCGCGGCACGCGAGTAGAAGGGGTGCTCGCGGATGCGGTCCTCCCAGCTCAGCATGTCGACGTAGGCACGGATGAACCCCTTGCGCAGGGAAAAGGCGTGGAAGTCAAACTGGTCCTCGACCCACGTGTCGAAGATGGTCTGCACGAGCTCGAACCGTCTCAGCGCGCTGCCCTCGTCGCCCGAGCGAGCAAACGCCTCGCCGTCCTCGGTGATGTACCACACGGCCTGCATGTCGATGAGGTCCATAAAGGGGCCGCCGACCGTCTCGGCCCGCGTGAAGAGGCCCATGGTCTTGATGGCCTCGTCGTTCTTGTTGTTCCGCAGCTGGTACTTGGCGGCCTTGGTGCAGATGTACCGGTCGCGCGTGTCGAGGGACCGCGCGTGGTTCATCCACTCGGACGCCTTTTCCAGGTTGCCCTTGTGCTTCCATATCCTCGCCTTGGTCATGTGGAATTCGAGGCTCTTGGGGACCTTCTCGATCGCCAAGTCGACGTACTCCATGGCCTTGGCCAGGTCGCGGCTGAGGTGGTAGTTGTAGTGCTGCGCCAGGTAGTACAGGGCGGCGGCCTCGCCCTTGGTGGCGTCGCCGTTGGCGGGCCTGTCGGCGTCCGACTTGATGTAGTCGTGCACGAGGGCGGCGAGCGTCTCCTTCTTGGACGCGTCCGAGTAGAGGTGCTTCAGGTTGGCAAAGGTCGACGGCACGCCCTTGCTGAGTGCCGACGTCAGGTACGCCTTGGCGGCCGTCTTGAAGTCGTCGCCGGTCAGAAAGTTGAGCGGCAGGCGGCGGGGCGCGTCGGAGCGCGGGTGCTTGGCGGCAAAGTCGTCGTAGATCTGCTTCCTCGCCTCGGTCGAGTCGAGAGCTAGGGTCCCCTCCAGCTTGGCGTAGTACTCGGTGTGGTCGGGGTTGCGGTTGATGAGGGCCCGGTAGGCGTCGGCGGCGTCGTCCCTCTTGTCGAGCCTCGCGAGGTACTCGGCGCGCTTCTCCATGACGGCGAGCCTGTCGAGGCTCGACTTGGCGGCGGTCTGGAGGTGCTCGAGGGCGCGCTCGTACTCGCCCTGCTCGGCGATGAGCCTGTTCTTGTACATGACGACCTCGGAGTGCTCAATGTCGCGGCTCGACGGCGTCGTCTTGAGGGTGCTCTCGTACATGTTGATGACCTTTTCGGCGGCGGGCAGGTCGCCGTTGAGGTGGTGGGCCACGGCCAGCGCGGTCCAGTTCTGGATCAGCTGGGACTTGGCCTGCAGCATGGTGATGCGGCTCTGGACGTAGCCCGGGTAGTCGCGCGTCTGCATCTGCAGCAGGGCGAGGTCGCGCAGGATCTGGGCCGAGTCGGGGTCGATGGCGAGGGCCTGCTTGTACGCCTTGATGGCCTCGTCGTACTTGCGGACGGCCCTCCACAGCAGGCCGTAGACGTGCCAGCAAATGTGAGACTTCATGTCGGCCATGAGGGCGACCTTGCCGAGCGCAAAGGCCTCGTCCGTCTTGCCCTGCGAGTTGAGGATGAGGGCCTTCATGGCCTGCGTGTCGCCATGCTTGGGGTGCTTCTTGAGGATGATGTCGGCATTCTTAATTCCACGCTTGTACTGCTTGTCGTCGTAGTTGCGCACGAGGGTCCGGAAGAGGGACGCCTCCTTTGACGGCAGCGGCTGAGGCATTGTGAAAGGCGGTCGGTCGCTTGTCTGCGTCTTCTGCGTCCGTCTGCGTCTGTCTGGATCGAAGCAGCAGGATAGAAAACAACCTGGGGCACGTCAGCTGGTGAGCACGCGAGGACTGAAGGCAGCGGGCTCAGAGTCTGCGTACCTTACTGGCGCAACAAGGCGGCACGGGACACCTGGGCAGAAGGTAGCAAGGCTGTGGTGGCTGTGGCAGCTGGAGGGACACTCTGAGTAGCTTCTGCTGTGTTGCTATGCTGTGTTGGGGCGTGGGGCCGTATGGTCTGCCTCTTGCGACAAACCGGTGCAGCTAGCTGTATGAAGGGGTTGGATGCTGGCAGAAGCAAGTCGTCAGACCAAAACTAACACACTCGATGGTTCGGGTACGGCACAATCTGGCTCTGGGCCCGCCCTGGCCTCGTGGGCGGGTCCCGCTCTGCGGCGGGCGCTTGGCGCCAATTGCCGCTGCTGCGCATCTCATGGCGGGGTGGCGGCGGCTGATGACTGGCACAGCACAAGGCTGGTCACGCACAACTGCAGCATGCGGGTGATGTATGATGTAGGACACGAAAGGCTAAGGGGTCGAATGATGGCTGAGATGATCTATCTTTACAGTATGCTAGATACAGTGGTGTACATGTGAGAAGACGGCTCTCGTTTCTTCTCACCACGTCGTCACCGCAGATGGCCCTCTGTCCTCTCACTGGGCAGCCTCGTTTTCCACGTAGTAAAGGCCTCCTCCCACGTGTCGGCAGACTCCCCGCAGCGCTGCTTGACCATCTCCCAGCTCCTCGTGCGGACAATGTTCTCGACGCCCTTCTCCTGCCGGATGAGGAGCGCCAGCTTCTCCGTCCGGGGCTCCCGCGGGAAGAAGCGTCCCGAGTAGGGGTCCAAGCGCTCGTCAACGACACGCTCCTGGTTCTTCGCAGCCTCGACCTGTCGGAGCATGGCCTCGGGATCGTCGGGATCGGGCGACGTCGCAACGACACCGCAGTAATGCAGCACCTCGGCCCTCGCCTGCCACGACGGGAAGAGGACCTGCTCCTTGAACCGTTGGCATGAGTGTGGGTCGATCTGTCGGGCGAACGATCTCGGTGTCCGTTGTGACGTGGACGCAGGGTCGAAGCCTGCGCGGGAGGGCGTCACGAGGGCGTTGAGGTTCTGGCCGATCGCGTCGTCGATGCCGGCGCGCGACAGCCTGAGAAAGTCTGGCCGACTGTCAGCATGGTGCTGAGGGCTCGTAGAGCGACATAAGAACATCAATCCTGAAAGTCGCCGGCAATGGGAGACGTACCGCGGAGTGTGCCCGAGGAGAAGCAGAACTGCGGCGTCAAATGCGGACGCGGCTGTGGTTGTGTCATGGTGTCATGGACCTGTGGTGATGGAGGGCGCACGCCAGCAGTACGAGCCGGCTCCGTCTTCCAGAAAATGCCCGCCAGCTTGACAGTGTCGGCCGTGACTATTCCGTATGCAAATGGGGTGCCTGGAGGTCACAAAAAATGCTCCGTGTGCGTGGACAAGTCGGTGGCGCGATGGCGGATGATGATGACTTCGATACTGACCGAGAGCTCCCTGGAGCTGCCGCGGCCCAATGACGTCTCTCCCGTTGGTGGATGTTGGCTGGTGGGGCCACTGAGAGCGCCTGTCGGCTGGTTGCTTAGTGATCCTTTGCCAGCCATCTGCGCTTCATGCAGCACCGTACCTGAGAAAATGGCATCGTCAGTCTTATTTCATAAGAGATGGGAGCATGAGCCGAGATTCTGAACGCATCCAGCCGACAACAAAGACGGCTTTAGTAAATACCTCGCGTTGAACATTTGCGCCTAATCGTGATAGAATATAGAAGGTATTGATAATGCTTCTGAAATCGTCACGTCTAACTCCACTCCTCTGGCGGGCATCTCACTTCGATACGTGATATCAAATACAAAGCATGACACAATGTCGCGTAGAGAAGCCTCTGGCCTCGTCTACAGGCCAAGGAGGCATGCGTTACTTGCCGAGAGTTGTTTGCAGTCTACCTTGCTTTCCAATAGCGTCCTGGGCCAAAATTACTCGATAATTGCCTGCGCTGCATGATCTTACATTCGACTTCTTCTCGGCGTTTTACGAAGCTTCAAAGTTTCGAATCTAACCATGGTGTGCAGCGAAAGTATCAGGACCGCTCGCATGCATCACAAATTCCCGATAATGTGACAACCCCTTGCCATGATTTAGCACTGTCGGTTGGCCCTCCAAACACCAGGATCCGACGATAACCACATGCTCCTAGCGTCCTGCTGTATCATTCTACTGTCTACACGACTTTGCCTTCTACTTGTTGATTCTGATGGACCGCCAAAGAACTCATCTTGAGAGTCATGGCAAGCCACCAGGCATCTGGTAAGTATGACGAAGGTCATACAGTCGCCAAAGGGGCAGCAAACCTTGCACAACAGCCGCTTCAGCATATTGAGACCCTTCAACCATTGTTGTGGTATCTTAATCCACGGTTGGCAATGTCAAAAAAAGAAACGGTGCCTCTGACTCTGAGCGAGTTCAGCCATGTTGAAATGCTCACTCACACTCGTCCACGTGAGCATTGGATACAGCCTCGGTTGATCGCCTCCTAATCCTTCCCCCGCAGAGTCTGACAGCAAAGTCAATCTGCACGGGTGAAGATCGGATTCCTATATGCACATGTTCACGGTCGAATGCGATTCCACCTATGAATCGGAGTCTGCAACCGACGTTGGGTTGCAACTTGTTCTGAGCAGGATTCTCTCGATCCACGCCCATGATCGGCAGACGTCTTTATCCGCAGCCAATTCCTTCCGTGCCCGCCCTCTCCGCATCACCCGTCTGGGAAAGAAGACCGCTTCCATGCACAACATCGGAGAGAGAGACGATCAGAACTGTCGTCGCCGGAGAATTACAATGTTGGGCGGGCGCCACCCTTCCGGGACTATCATGATATGCTTTAATATGAGACGTCATCCTGTGAACGGTGTCTTTTTGCACCGTTTGTGATATCCGCGCCACGTCAGTGTAATGAAGCCCATATATGCAAATGCCATCCTGCTGGCGGGGACAGTCGTCTCGGCCATCAAGAATCCCATACTCCCAGGGTAGGACGACAAAAGCCCCAGAGTCTTACTGAATACAGCCGGTTAACCAGGCCGCTGCCAGATGGAACCCAGACCCGGCCATCCTCCGGGTGGACGACACGTACTACATTGCCGTCTCATCCTTCACGTACTTTCCCGGCGTGCCCATCTATCGCTCCCGAGACCTCGCCAACTGGGAGCTCGTCTCGCATGCCCTCCAGGAACCCCAGCAGCTCCAGCTCAACGGCATTTCTTCCGGCAACGGTAAGCCCCATGTCCTCGAGGAGAATTTTCATGCTGAGGATTCGTTTTCAACAGGTGTCTGGGCGCCTGGGTTTTCGCACATCGATGGCCGCTTCTACATCACTTCGATGACGCGCTGGGGCGATGATCCCGATAACCGCACCTGGCCGCGTATCTGGTGGACGTCCTCGGAGGATCTCGAGACGTGGACGGACCTCGTTTGGGCGGAACCGTACGGCATCGACCCGGAGCTGTTCCGTGACCCCGACTCTGGAAAAACGTACCTTCTCCTCATGGGCCCGAATAACAACCACGACCGCGTATGGGGCATCACCCAGTGTGAGGTTGACCTTCGATCCGGCAAGTGTACCGGCCCATACTTCAACACATGGAATGGCACGTTGCCGCATGATGCAAAATCTCGGCCAGAAGGCCCCAAAATGTTCAAGCGTGAGGGGTGGTACTACTTACTGCTCGCCGAAGGTGGGACGAGTACCGGACACCGGGCGACCATCGGCAGGTCGAAAAGTCCAGAGGGGCCGTGGGAGGCAGCGCCAAATAACCCTCTCATCTATAACGGAGCAGACCAGACATTGACTATTCAGTCCACGGGACATGCGACCTTTACTGAGACGCCCGGTGGTGCGTGGTTTGCTTCCCTCCTCGCGAGGCGCAACGTCAAAGGTGCCTCGCCGCTAGGGCGTGAGGCCTTTCTCGTCAATGTGACATGGGCCGATGGATGGCCTACCATGAACGGCGGACGGTACCTTTCGCCAAGCCAGTTCACAAAGGGGAACGTTGTTCGGAAGCCTTGGATCGAAAATTTTGAGGGCGCAAAGCTCGACCTCAGCTGGTACCAGGTCCGAACACCATATACAGAGAACTATCGTCTCCTCGGCGCGGCGGGCAACAGCACTGGTGGAAAGATGACGGGCGGCCTCGTTTTCCACCCAAACGTCTTCACTCTCAGCGACCGGGATGTCCCCGCAGCACTCTTCCACAAGCAAACGTCCTTGAACATGACGTTTTCGGCGACACTGCTGCCTACTACGGGCGTTCTCGGACCACGACAGCAGGTGGGTATCTCGGCATATCTGAGTGATGTATCGCACCAGGACATTGGAGTTCGTGGCTGCTGGAACGCAACAGGGCTATGTGTTTACACGGATATGCTGCCAAAGTCGGCTGGCCCATCGACAAGGCCCGTGGCAAGTTACCACGCAGTTGGGAAAGCCTGTCATGCAATGTTGAGACTAACGAGCTAGCAGTCGACCGAATGGGCTCTCAACACAACATCTATCCCTTCAGATCTCGTATTACACATCGACGCCAGCCCCTTCGTCTATTCCCTCGGGTACGCACGCGGTAATAGTGAAACCACTTGGTTAAAGCAATTCGAGACCAGGCAAATGGCCAACGGCCAGGGTTACTCGGTTTTCGAGGGTGCCATGTTTGCGCTTTTTGCCAGCGGCGCAGGCGAGCCTTGGCCCTTTGACGCGCCGGATGTGGGTTTCGGCAGCGTTGGGGAGGTCTTTCGTCAAGAAAACATCCCGGACTTTGACGACTGGAGTGGATAGACTGTGGGTTTGACAAAGTTCGATAGGTTTGGGGTCAAAAAGCACACCGCACAATGCTCCAAGAATAGAAGACAAGTCGTTGAGCTGAAGCATCCCGGCAACAAACTCACCTGCCAAACCGGCACGTAGGGATCCCATCCGGGTCCCCGTGTGACCTCACCTTGGCTTCCAACTGGTCTCCGGGCAGATGTGACCATAAGGCTAAAAGCCACGTTGACTTCAGCCGGGACCCGAGTCTCTGGCTACGCTCAAAAGCCGTGCCGTGCCAACCCAGACGTAGCCCGTCGCTCGACTCAGCACGATTCGAGAGCAACACTCAGGGGGGCCATTTTGCTGGTGCGAAGCTGGCTCAGCGCACCAAAAAAAGCTTCGACTGGCTCCTCGGTTGGCTTGAATCTTGGGTGCCATCCATCGGCGGGGCGCCGGCTAGCAAACAGACGAGCGAGCTGATCATCATGAGGAGAGGCTGCAGAAAGGGGCCAAAGTGGAAATGATCGTCAGGTACGGGGTGGTATCATGGCGAGTTGGAGTGCGGCAATACTGACGAGGTTGCACTGCACGGCCTCGTTACCAGGCTTTTCCAGGACAGCATGGACCGGCCGCCCCTCCCCGTCATGGACAGACAGGGCAGGCTCGATGTGGTATTGCCAGACGAGCAATGTGACTAGACCAGCAAGGAAGAGACCCCCCCCCCATCAATGGGCTGCAGCTTTCTCCATGGATTGTGGCTTGGAAAAGGCTGGTAATTAGCTCGGATTGTCGCTGCGTAGCTGAAAAAGGGCGGCTCGCGAATCTGTCGCCTGGAGCGAGATGGATGGCTCAAGGAACATGGGCAGAGAACAGTGCAAATGCTCGGAGAGACGGGAACGGTTGGGGGGGAGGGGGGAAGGCCTGCCCCCCAGACGTCAGCGGTCCCTCCCCTCTTGCCCCCTCACCCCGTAGATCGATCGCCGGGGCGACTCGCAGTACGAAATCGCCTCAAGCTTGGCTGACCGCCCCAGGCGTCTTTTTGAGGAGGGTAAACCTAAGGTGTATGACAGCAGGGCAGGGCAGGTAAGCCTCGAGGGCCAGCATGGAATTGAGCAGCTCTCTTGGAGGTTCCTCCGAGCTGCCGGCGATAACGGGTCATGCTCCCGGTGCGTGAGACCGTGATGTGAGAGTGAGAGAGGCAGTAAGGAGTGCCTAGGGAGATCCGCCGTCGACCACCTGGTGTGGTCATGACGAGGCCGACAGGTTATATCATACTGTGTTATGCGTGCTTTTCCTGCGCGAGCACCTCTAGGGCAATGCATAGTTTGTTTTCCGACTGGTGATGCTGGTCCGCGATTGGCATTCCAACCCCAAGACTGGCTGACGGCGCGCATGAAGTTGCACAGACTGTTGGAGATGAGCCTCCCAGGGCCTGGATACCCCTGTTAACCACCCCAAGGCGACGCCTGAGAGTTCGTGCGGGGATGTCGTCTTTCTGGTCCGCTGAGGGGCATGGGTAGACATACCATCGGCATATTCCAGGTTTTGAATCTTCATCACATCTCGACACAAAGGGTACGAGTCTAGTCGTCATGCGCTCGCTACCCATGAGAAGAGACGGGCCTGCCCCCAATGTTTGTGTCGCCTAGAAACCCGTAGCGGGGAAGACTGACCAGACTCGCAGAGTCGGTATCGGTAGTGAGGTTGCCATCGTATGCCGAGCTGCCACGCTACGACCCAGGCCGAGCTGCGCTGTCCCGTGCCGTACCCTGCGTTCGCTTCACGATGTGTGGCTCGGGACGCAATATGCGGTGACGGAAGGCAGATTGAAATCGGCGGCTTGGATGCCGTTTTGAAACCTCGGAAGAAGGCCCCAGGCGACCGTGTTTCCCGTTCCCGTCCTTGTCGAACGGGTGGTCCGCGCTGTTCTGAGAGAGACTTGCTTGAGATGGCGAGTCTCCCCTGCGAACGATCGCGACATGGCCAGGGAAGCACCGCCGAGGACAAGTGTTCTCTTCCGAATGGGGCTTGAATGAAGAGCGAATGCTGCGTCGCACTGCGAAGGGGCCGCGGCCGTTGTCACTGCCACTGCTGCCACTGCGAGAGCAGCGTTCTTTGACCCTAGGTAGGCTAAGATGGCATGGCGTCCGGAGCCTGGATGAGGGTTCCAGGAGAAGGCTCCCGTCGTTCCTTGCAGGGGTCCAACGTCTACTGCTCTCCTCCCAGAGAGGGGCTCAAGGTCATGTACCGAGTACAAAATCGACCGCCAGCTTGCGACCGCCCTCGCCGTGGCCCGAAAGCCCGCTCATGGGTGACTCGTGCTGCCTGATCGCCAGACGACAGCTAGGGTGCATGAATGATGCCGATTCGCAGGGTTCAAGGTACGCATGTTAGGCTGGAGGCTATGATGTGGTGGCACAGTACATTACAGAACAGTAGACCAGGAAAGCAGGCATCCATCCGGGAAACCTAGGGTTGCACTGCACGATATGACGAAGATGCATGCAAAGCAATGCAGGACAAGACAAAGAGACGAGTGGCTCGGACGGGGAATTCGGAGGCTTTGCTTGTTTGCCGGGTTGTGATCAACTATTGTCTGTGAGAGCTCGTTTTGGAGATTTGATGTCGGCGAAAAGCATCAAAGCGCTTCAATGATCTGCTGCACAAAGTCTATAGAGCGGTGCCCAGTTCATGCAAATCAAGATGATACGACCTCGAGGGGCTGCTGGATTCGGCCGACCAGTTCAAAGGGGGAAATTTGACCAAATTGAAATGACAAGATGGAGGACCTAGCCAAGGCCGATGCGCTGGAATAGGACATCCGCGAACCCGGGTTACGTAAGGTTTCTGCCGCCATATCGCGCTGGAAATGACTCGTGACGATACTTTTCTTTGTTGTTGCCCGTCGTGTCGTGTGGGCGCCGACGTCGTTGTCGTCGTCCATGACATTGCGTACCTTATGCGTCCCTACCGCATCAGGCGGAAACGGCATTGTCCTGGTCCGACGACATTACCAGATCTGTGGACGGGCGCTGTCCCCTTTGCCCCCGCCTCCCTCCCTTACCATCGCCCGCGCCGCATGGCAAGTGAAGGATGTCTTTTGTGCCACGAGCAGCCTATGGAGACGAAGACCATCTGCCGCGGCGGGAGCTTTGACCGACGTTGCGAGATGTTGGGGGCTGGCCTCGGAGTCCAGGGAGTGAGCCCCAGTGCCAAAGCTGCACACGACTCTTGAATGGGGACATGCGCATGGGTTCACCAGCGAGATCTTGATGGACCAGAGTGGACGTGTGGTTGGTTTGGTCGGAGTCAGTCTGACCCAGGCCTATGATGCTGAAAAGCAGAGGTAGCATGCCCGCTGGGTAACGCGGGCCGTTTGGACCTGTCAAGCGAGTCGAAGAGAGAAGAGAGGCGAGAGCAGGGAAGCCAGAACAGAACACCTAGTCAGAAGTCCCCAAGCCTAGCCCCAGCCCGAGGACCCCTGGCTCCTGGCTCCTTCCTGCCTGTTCTTCTGGCGAGGGTGGCAGGTGCGAGTGGGCAGCGACAGCTGAGGCCGGCAACCCTACAGCGGAAGGCACCGCTGAAAAGGCACCTTGGGCAGGTGCCAGTAGGTACGTCCTGCCAGGTTAGGCCTTTAGGTCCCGCGGTCGCGCCCCCCCCGGACCGCCAGGGTTAGTACCTTCACCTAAGGGTAAGGTAGGTAGGTGTACCTTAGGTTGGTACCTCAGGCCCAACGAAATGGAATATCTCCAACTGGGGAAGGAGCTATGGCCAAGCCCGATCTGGGTTCGCGCCTCTTTTTTTTCTCCTTCCGCGCGGCTGCCTGTGAACGTGGGTGGCTCTATCCTCCTCCTGTCCTCTCTCTGCGCGCGAGACATTAGACCATCAGCGTGTGGTGGGTGCTGCCCCTTGGGTGTCAACACCACTGAACATCGATCGTGAGAAAATTTCCCTACAACTGGACGTGACCGACCAGAACCATTGGCCGTCAACCAATTGCCTCTATTTCAATTCCAGCCGAAGGAATTAAAAGCTCGCATTGTCGTCGAAGAGTCTCGAGCTCCGAGATCCACTCGGACCGATACCACCACAACCCATCGTACGGCCACACCCCTGGGTCTGTCGCGTCCTGACCACCCTCCTCCACGACCTACGGTCCACGGTATACCCTGGCTGACCCCGGCCGCCGCCTGCTCACGCGCAGGGCACGCGTGGAAAACAGCCTGTTGGCGTCTGGGCTTGACTCTCCGGCCACGGGATGAAGAGGGGACCCTCATTCAGCGCGCCCGCCCCTTCTGTTGCAAGAGGCATGAAAATTTGTGCAGATACCTCGACCACCACGCATCGCGCGCGACCACACCCCCCCCCTTGAGGCAAAGCCCGTCGAGCAACGAGCTTTCGTCAATTCCTCGACATCCTCCACCCCCCTCCTCTTCGTCTCCGTTCAGCGCCCTGCGTATCTGCCTCCGATCAATCAACTCGCGCCCTACCACACCCACCCAACGCACACGCCCCCCGTCTTTCTGACCCGACTACCTCCCTCCGCGCGCTCGTCCTCCGCCGAGAGAAGCCCCCCCCCCCCCCGGTCTCTGCTCGTCGTGTCCACCCCCCCAGTCTCCCAAGTCATCCCATCCCGTACTCAGTACCTACCTGCCAGGACGTCTGCCACACTCAACACACCCACCCGGCACCACGCGAGACGAAGCGAGGCCAAGCGAGGCGACGCGCTTGCTGCTGGTTTACTGTTACTCGTCCTGCATCTGGTCGTCCTGCTCCTCCGCCGCCCGGCCTCACTCGACCTGGGCTTGCTCCCGCGCCACTCGACTGGACAAGGACAGATCCGATCAAGCATACAGCAAACCCCCCTTTCCTGCGCCGCTGCCCGGTGGCCGCCGCGGCTCACAGTGCCTGTACGAGCACCGGGATAGACGTCAGGGACGCAACCCTCTCCCCTCTCACACCCCCCGATCGTGCCAGCCTGCCCGCCGTCGCCCTCCCGGCTCAGGGGTGGTCGCGCCTCCTCTGCCCCCTTCCCCTTGTCCATCGAGACGTCAAATCGTGGCTCCATAAAAATTTCTAATTAAAATCCCAAATGGCTCCAAACGACACCTCTCAAGAGCCTGCCGGTGACGCCTCTGCGTCGACGACCTCCTCGTCAACCGCCGTTGCTGCCCCTCCTCCTCCTCCTCCCACCTCTCCTCCTCTTCTCACCTCGACTTCGACGCCTCCTTCCCTAGCCGTCGCCGCCGCTTCTCAACCGTCGTCTCAGCCCACGACCACCGCACCCTCGACGAACCCGACTTCTGCTACGCCTGTGAACGTTCCTGCGAGTCTATCACCAGCTCACGCGACCCCAACCGCGCCCGAATCTGACGCATCCACCCTCGTCAACGCCGTTGCTTCGACCGCCGCTCCATCTCCTCCTCCTGCCGCCACCGTCTCGACGACCAACGCTGTCTCGACAACCGACGCTGTCCAACAAAACGGCGACGCGAGGTCGTCCTCCTCGCCCGCCATGTCGCATGGACAACACCCTACTGGACCTCACCGACCGCCAGGGAGCTATCCAAGCCCGACTACGTACGGATCTCCCGCTGGCGCGCCTATTGGTCCGTACGGATATGGTGGTCCTCAGCAGCAGGCTTCAATCGACCCATATCGAGCGAGTCCCGGTGCTCAAGTATCATTGCCGAGCGTCAAGAGCTTTGATGCGTTACAATCGCAGCCACAACACCAGCCGCCTCCGCCGCCGCCACCACCACAACAACAGCAACATCACCAGCACTCTCACCAGCATGGCTCGCCTCATGCGCCGCCACAACCCATGAACATGCCCATGTCCATGGGGCATCCCCAGGGCATGCCGTACTATAACCACATGTCAATGGCTCCGAACCCTTACCAATTGCCTTCCGACAACATAAGATATGCCATCCCCCCGCACGACATGCGGTACGGGGGCGGTCCCCGTGGACCAAAGAAGGTACGGCGTTTTGGGCTACTGGGTTGACTCGACATACGACGGCGAGACGTGTCGCCACCCAGGATCGATCCCTCGCTAATCACTATTCTTTTCTGCAGGAAATCAAAAGACGAACAAAGACGGGATGCTTGACATGTCGCAAACGCCGCATCAAGGTTGGTCGCTCCTTTCTTTTTTGCTTTTTCCTTGACCAGCGTTTTATTCGTATGCGGAGGCAGGAGCCGAAAGGGAAAAAAAAAAAAAGGAAAGGAAAGCAGGAGTTGAAGATGAAAGAGGTCGGGACACCCAGAATTCATGAAACAAGAGGAAATGGAATGAATGAGGTATGGCGGTGGTGGGTTTTGGCGAGACGTCGCTTGGAGTCGCTTGCGGTCGCTTGATGTCGAGCTACTGCGAAGCGAGAACCACCCCGTCCGTTCATCCGATGTCACTCGGCAAGTGATCCGCGGCTAGTATCGAGCGCCAGGCAAACGAATCTTCATGGTGGGGTTGGATGCGCCTCATGAGTGATGCCCACCACGACAATGATCATGATGCTTGCTGAAGAACATGCTAACTTTATTTTTTCACATAGTGCGATGAAGCCCAGCCGACATGCAACAACTGCAAAAAGTCCAAGCGCGACTGCGCCGGATACGACCCCATCTTCAAACAACAACCTGGACCTTCAAACATTCAGCCGGCCCTCAACAGTCACCACCAATCCCCCGTTTCAACGCCAACCGTTCCTTCGTCACTACCCCCTGCACCACTGCAGCCTTCCAACCCATATGGTTCGCAGCCTTCGGTCCTGCCGAGCTCCTACGGCCCTCCCCCATCGGCCAGCACCCACTTCGACTCAGCCCTGAATTCTCCCGCCTCGGCCAAAGCGGACGGTTACGGAACGGCCATTGATCCTGCGCTGCAGAACCTGCCCATGCTCGCATCAACACCAAACTTTGCTTCCGGCCAGCAATCCGCGACCGGCGGCAACCTGACCTTGAGAGGTGCCGTCCCCCTCCCTCGCCCCTTTCCGTTCCTGCCTATACCTGCCCCTTACTGTTGATTTGATTGGATCCTCCGGCTCACGCGCGAAACTCTCAGCCAAAAAGATGAAGATTGAACAAATCCTGGACCTCCTGGGCCCCGCACCATCACCTCCTTCCGAGGGAGACGGCCAGGTTACACCAGAGGTGGCCAAGGAAATCACCCGCGTCTACCATGAAGTGTACGCTTTTGGACTCGATTCCTTCTTCGAGACGCGCTGGTTCGGCTGCATGATGACGGACCCATCAACCCTAAATCTCTACCGTGACTTACGTGGTGCGCGGGACGTCTTTGCTGCCTTTCTCAAGTGTATCGAAAAGACACATGTCAACGACCGCGCCAGCTTGAACGCGTCAGGCGTTCTCGAGACGCGTCTTACCTGGACACTGGCAACTCTTCCCTTGGCTGTGGTCCCGCCGAGCCTCTCCAAGGCGGGACCGCATGACCCTCTTCCGCCACCAACCGATCCCGTCGAGATTCGCAACCGGGTCTTTGTTGTCGACGTTCTCCTCCGTGGCGATTTCATGATGTCGGCCAACCCCTTGACGGCGCCTCGAGCCGACAGCGACACGAACCGCGTGCGGGAATATGAATTCTGGTACAACCTGGCGCACTTCCTCTGCCTACCCGACACGACGTATGAGAGCAAGCACGATGAGCGAGAGACGGCTCTGAATCGAATCAGGACCCTCCTAGACGGTCAGGAGAACCGCGACCTCTTGTACTCGATTGCGATTGCGCGTGAGCTGGCGCCGAGACTCGATCCTGGGTACGAGACATCGATCCCGCAGCAGGCCGATGAATCCGAACCGAAGAACCGACTGTTTGTTGCCAGCAACTTCATCCGCAGGGAGGCGCAGGTGTCTGGGGGCACGACAAACGTTGTGCGTCGCTTCAGCGAGATTGCCATTCAGTCCTTTATCAACCCCGGCGTCAACATCGGACGACTCAATAACACGGGCGTGCTGAAGCAGTCGTGGGAGGAGTAGCCGTGTACGGCCTTTTTACGGAACGCTGGGCTCATTGGCGTCAATCGGTTGGACGGAGTCATTGGTTTCCATTTCTTTACGTTTGCCCCCTCGACCATCGGTCCTGCTGGCTCTTTATGCAATATTCACGGCCTTGCATCGGTTGCTTGCATTTCGAGCCTGCACGCTGTATCAGTAGCACAGTCAAAAAGTATAGGTGCATGGCGATCGGCACCTAGGAGTTGGAGAGGTTAGCAGCTCAGCGACGGATGGCAGTTTCATGTACATTATGTGAAAAGCAAGAGCGTAAAGGCACTGAGAGTAGGGCAGTAGTGCAGCCGGTGAAGAGAACACTCAAATTCATCAAGTTCCATCTTGAGATCATTTCCCTTGATCGAGTGCGAGGCACGGACCACAGGACGGATCGCCAGCGCGGTAGCTGTGATGGCGACATGGCCCTGGATACCAATGATGAAAGAGGCTGCAGGAGAGCCATGCACGGGGCATGCTAGCTGGGCGCTGGTTGGCAGTTTCAGGCCGTGGTGTGGTACGGGAAACTGTTCGGGACATATCGCTCCATAATCCCCTGTTGGTTGACCTGTCTCTGGTGTGCGCCCTCGGTCTGGGCTCGCCCGTTGTGGTTGTTCGGTGCGTCGTGGCGGTGTGCGGGATTGGCGGGGTCCCACTTTTGCCGCCGAAGCCGGTCGGAGGGGATGGTCGGGCCGGAACTGCGTCGATGCTGTGCGCTATCTTGTCTGCTGTGTTTTGTCTCTGACTATGGGTACGAGACATGGCAGAAAGATCCAGGTTGGATGTGGCTGTGAGGAGTATACTCTATCTCGCAGAGGTAGCGCTTTCGGAGGCTGGTATCAGGATGGATCGGTGGTGCGTTATTGTTTCGGACGAGTAGTCAAGGCTGACCCATCCTGCGCGAGGTGATTGAGCTGCATTGAACCGCAGCTTATCTATCTGACGCAATGCCGTTTATCGCACGTCGTCTGTAGTCCAAGGCGGTGTCATGCAAATTACAGACACTGAGGAGGCCGGTGAACAGCAACAGCCTTTGCGGTAGCGGATCGCGACACACAAGTTATGACAGTACACGAGATACACTTACAAGCGTTTAGGAAGGACCGGGGAAACAAATTTTCACAGCAGGTCTTCACAGCCGCAGCAGGAGAGGCGAGAATGAGGTAAAGCAGGATCATGGCCGCCTGGCCAAGCCATAGGGCGTGCCGGCCGGACCCAATGTCGCCGTTCTATGAGGCAGTTTTGCTACCCTGTCGTTTCTGTGCCGCCTTGGGCCGATGACGATGCCGCAGCGATCACGGTCTCGTCCGCTTCGCTATGGGACCATCGGGTACATGCCGTCAGGGCGCCTGAGCTGGATTGTGTGCTGGCAACTAGGCCTTACCTTGCGTTGGATGGGGGACGACTCATGGCCCATGCCTTCCGACGCAAGCTCCGAATCACCCCGTCGCGTCATTTCCAAATCCAAGGGATCAAATCATGGCAGGCGAGCCCCAACGTCTTATATTATCACATGGTCTCGCGGTTGGGAGACGAGTGCCTCGCTCCTACTCCCTTTACCAAATACCCCCGGCTCCTTCCCCGCCACTTTTCACCCCGCGCGTCGATCACCCCGCCAAAAAAAAGTAGGCAGGACCCCGAGATAAGGCAACTGCCACCCACTGATCAACAACCGCAATTGACCCCGCGAACGGCACAAACAACGGCGCCAACCTGAACCAGACAACCAACTACCCGAGACATCGTCATTGATTCATCTGGTTATCAGCTGTAGTACCGTTTACCACGTGGATCCGCATTGTTAGAGAGGAAACCCATAATGGCTCCCCCATCTCATGCCTACTCGCGGCCCAAGGTTCTGCGCTTGGGAATTATCGAGAGGTAGGTGGAAAGCACTGTCCCATATCGGACTTTACAGGCGGCCTGCAGCACCTAGCACCAGAATAGCTCATATCTCACAGTGCTCACGATGCCTGGGCCCAGGTCGAAGAGATTGCGGAAATTGTCGTACCCAAGTCTACGAACCGGGAAGACTTCATCAGAGAGTGCCGCAGCGGTGCCTTTGACGGCGCGACCATTGCCTACCGCACCTTTGACTCGGTCAAGATCACGGGGCGAATTGACAGCGAACTCGTCGACGCCCTCCCGGCCTCAGTTATTTTCATATGCCACAACGGTACGATTCACCATCCGCAAGCTCGGCCAATCTTTGACTGACAATGCCTCAGGCGCCGGGTACGACCAAATTGATATTGCTGCTTGCAGCAACCGTGCCTTCCTCGAGAATAAACCTCCCATACGCGTTTCCAATACACCGACCGCTGTCGACGATGCCACGGCAGATATTGGCATCTGGCTCATGCTCGGTGCTCTACGCAACCTGAACAGTAGCATTACCTCGCTGCGGAAAGGAGAGTGGCGTGGCAAGAGGCTGCCCGCCCTCGGCCACGACCCCCAGGGAAAGGTCCTCGGTATCCTTGGCATGGGCGGCATTGGTCGCAACATGGCCCGCAAGGCCCGCGTCTTTGGCATGCAGATCCAGTATCACAACCGCAAACCCATTGCCCCTGAACTGGAGGCGGAGTGTGAGGCCCGGTACGTCAATTTTGACGACCTACTAAAGACGAGCGACGTCATCAGTCTCAATCTGCCTCTGAATGTAAGTATATCCTCGTTGGTGCATTGCGTTTGTTGCCTGGCTGACTTTGCAACTCCAGGACAATACTAGACACATCATCTCGACCCCGCAGTTTGATATTATGAAGAAAGGGGTGGTCATTGTCAACACAGCGCGGGGTGCCGTCATCGACGAAAACGCGCTCGTCGCCGCTCTTGACGAGGGTCATGTCGCCTCGGCCGGCCTCGACGTCTACGAAAACGAGCCGCAAGTTCACGAGGGTCTCCTTGCCAATCCCAACGTGCTGATAGTTCCACACATGGGCACGTGGACCGAAGAGACACAGACCAAGATGGAGGAGTGGACCATATCCAATGTTGTGTCGGCCATCAAACAAGGGGAGCTGCGCAGCATAGTACCAGAGCAGAAGATCCCCGTCGCTGGACCCTAGGGTGGACCACAGCCTTACTGGAAAGCCCCCGCGTTGTCAAAGATGGCTGGATACGGGCCACTAGAGGTGCCGCGTGGTTTTGCACCTCATCATGACCTGAGGACGATACGGACTCCGGACATGTGGATATATGCTCGACTGGCTCGAGGGTGGGTGCTCACGGGTCTACCTAGCAAAGACTATGCCTTGCCCCCGGACATTTTTGCTCACAAGTTGGCAACGGGTGAGGTTAAAGGTGCCGTCAAGCCGGCCCGGCCTTGGGCAGCTGAGGTGGTGCAATACAAGACGTGGTGTTGGCAGAGACGTCAGGGCGCGTAGGACGACCTGACCGTGTCGTTGAGGTGGGACAAGAATCCGAATACTTAGACATGCTCCTCGTAAACACCACATGAACATAGCAGGTAGTTCTAAGTCGAGCTGAGTTTGACAGCGAATCATGAATTTTCGTAGAAGTCTTTACAGGTCCTCTGACACTACTGATGATTAAGGTGGCGGTCAAGCCTCACGCGTGGCAAAAGGGCTGGTGTTGTCACAGTCTATTAGCTGCTAAGGGGCGGCCACGGTTGACGGGCCTGGGTATGTTATCGCCAGCCTGCACGCTCCGTCTTGTATCTCAACGGCGCGCACAGTGCTCTCATCTCTCATCCGCCAAGCCCTTGACGGATGTACAAAATCAAAAGCAATTTGACAAAGGAAACCATGGAAAGCGCCACGCCGCTGCGTGGTGTCTCGCTCTTCTTTGGGGGGGGGAATCACTTGCTACCGCATAGCCAACGCCTTTTTTGTTGAAAAAAGATCCCGCAGCCCAGCCCGGCCCGGCCCGGCCCTGTGCGAGTTTTTGGATTCCGTCCCAGTGTGTAAATGCGGGGGGTCCCCCTTTTGCCTTCCGTGTCCCAAAAGTCGTGCGTGAGCAATGTGCAGTCGTTGAAGTCATTAGTCGGGGTTGTTGAAGAAGGACGCGTGGGGGTTGATGATATGTGGTTGTTTAGTAGCGGTAGCTGGACACGGAGGATTAGCAAATGATCAAAAGGGGCGAGGATGGAGGCCAGAACATACATGTCGCTCTTGTAGGGACCCTCGACAGTCAGGCTGAGGTAGTCGGCCTGGACCTTGGTGAGGGTGCTGAGCTCGACGTTGCAGTGCTCGAGGTGGAGACGAGCGACCTCCTCGTCGAGGATCTTGGGGATGACGTAGACGCCGACCTCGAGCTTGCCGGCCTTGGCGAACTCGACGTACTTCTCACCCCAGGCCTTGTCGCCGCTCTTGTACAGCATGATCTGGGCGAGGACCTGGTTGGTGAAGGAGCAGGACATGACGAAGGAGGAGTGGCCGGTGGCGCAGCCAAGGTTGACGAGACGGCCCTCGGCGAGGAGGATGATGTGGCGGCCGCTCTTCATCTCGAAGCGGTCGACCTGGGGCTTGATGTTCTGGACAGCCTTGGCGTTGGCCTTAAGCCAGGCAACGTCAATCTCAATGTCAAAGTGGCCAATGTCTATATCGGGGGTCAGCAAAAAGTCTCATGCGATTTGTAGGATTGGGGGTTAACATACTGCAGACAATGGCGTCGTTGGGCATGGCCTCGAAGTGCTCGCCGGTCAGAATGTCACGGCAGCCGGTGGTGGTGACGAAGATCTGGCCGAGCTTGGCAGCCTTCTCCATGGTGGTGACCTGGTAGCCGGCCATGGCGGCCTGGAGGGCGTTGATGGGGTCAATCTCAGTGATGATGACACGGGCACCCATGCCGTGCAGGGCCATGGCGCAGCCCTTGCCGACATCACCGAAACCGGCAACGACAGCGATCTTGCCAGCGACCATGACGTCCGTGGCACGCTTGATGCCGTCGATGAGGGACTCACGGCAGCCGTAAAGGTTGTCAAACTTGGACTTGGTGACAGCGTCGTTGACGTTGATGGAGGGGACGAG